AAAAAGTCAGTGGGACAATCCTGGGATAGTAAGGGATTAAATGAACATAACCCAAAAAACTGCATTTACTGTCTACGCAGAACAAGATAATCTAGAATAAATGATAATGCAAATAAAAGAGGCCTTCATAAGAATAGAAATACACAACTTGAAAAAAATAATAAAAAAATAACTGAAATGTTTCAAAACAGATTTGCCCTGACCCAGACACAAATTGGCTCAAACTCTGCATGACTCAGATTGTACTAAAATCGATCAAAACTTGGCCCTTGACTTCCATTGATTTACATAAAACTGGCCCAAATCAGCCAGAGCTGGCCTGTAATTTGCCTGGAATGGGCCCAAAGTTTGCAAAACGATTTTTCAGCAACATTATGCTGATCAAATAATCCTATACTCAATATATAGTAACACTAAAAATACTTCAACATACGTATGTGATATGGGTACTCAGCAGTGATCTTCACTACATGATGATATTTAAACTACTTTATTGTATAAAACAGATACATGGCAAGACTGTTCCTCCTGTGACTTGCCTATGAAAAGAAGCTATGTCAATTGTTTTAAAAAGAAGACCAGCAAGAATGTTAAAACACTTAGCAAAATTAATAAAATCAGCATGGGCAAGTAGCCAGACAAAATGTTGTAATAGTGTTGTAGTAGGAAGGTGTAAACACCAGAATTAAGTGCTTTTCACGAAACAAAAGTTCTTAAAGGTAACTTGGCACAAATGTGATGCTAGTTATAACTGGCTAGATGGTAAGTAATTTCCAAGTCTAAAAGTGGCCTCTAACAGCCCTCCTCACCAAGTTTCTGCTACATACTTAAAGCAATCTAAATTAGCACATAACCCAGTCATGCGTCCTGCAACCCTTTGCAGATACTAAACTGTAAATGGCCAAGTTTTATATAGTTATCCTACCAAATGTGGAGATGGTTGACATTCATGCTCTTTGTTCTCCATAATTTTGCTTGGTTCTTTATTTATTTGATGAATGATGCTGTTGAATTAAAAATAATTAATTTGTCTTATTGGTTTAGTGTTTGATGTACAACTAGTTTCAGCAAATTTAGATTTCCTTGATTCTATTTACCATATGGTTTTTGATTAGTCTGTCTCCATTTTCTCCTTTATTCAAACCTCATTTGAAGTTCCATCCCAAAAAGTGTTAAACATATCAAAGTGTCACAGCATGGACAAACGCTGCTACTAGTTAAAGGGATTGTTATTTCTCATTGGTGAGAGAGATTTTAAATCCCATCCCCTAATGGGGACGATTCCCCATTAGGGGGGAATCACGTCTTTAATTTAGTTCTTTCTGTAGCAGCTCTTATTCCCAGCTTTAACTGTATGCTCCTTTTATGCAACTAGCTAACTTATCCTATACATTTATGATCTCCATGTTCATCCACTTAACAACATTATTACAATATACCCTTGCAATTACTGTGCCGTACTTTTATTCAATAGTCACCCTTCAACACAATTCGTATTGACAATCATGCATAGTAGGCTTGGTGCCATCTAGTTGACCAGGTAGATAAAATGGTAAATTCACCATCAGCTGGTGACTTGATACCTAGCAACAATGTGGTTATTCTTCCATTTCTCTTGTGTTTTAAAATCTCATTACAATGCTGGTATTATTTAGAAAAAAAACATAGTACATGCAAAATTTTGTGCTACTTTCCTAATCCTGCAAGTCTAGCAGCAAGAGTCAACAAAAGCTTTCCTTTATTATGAGTTCAGATGAAGGCAAAATATTTAAAGCATAGAATACATGATGGTAATTCATGGCAGTGTAAGGTACATTCTAGTGGTGCTTGCTAAAGTTAGTACAAGTGATGGGTACACTGAAACAAATCGGTGCATTAGTTTCAGACATCTCACCTGGCTAACACGCTCAATGTAGTTAAACGAATAATTCCCAAACGTTCGTTCGCCGTTTTCACAATAGTTCGTACGCCTTTTTCTCTATTTTTTGCTCAGCCAGAGACTACCACTTCAGCTAGACGGATGACGTCATGGCAGCAACAATAAGGAAAACCGAAAATTTACATGCAAGTTCGAATTTACTAGTTAACTAAATTTGATAATAGCTTAAATCAACTTTATGATAGTGATAATATAAATAATGGAAGATATCATGCAATAGTGATTAAACACACATACGACATTCACATGCTTTATAGTTTTCATCGTTGGTGTTTTATTGCCTCGAATACAGAGGCGGTTTTGTTGTCATATTGGTTATGAAACATACCGCAATTCGATCACAGTCTGTGTTACTGGTGAGCCAAGTAAAAGATCATCGACAATTATTTCAAACTTATTGATTATTTCTAATAATGTATGTAAAAAGTGTGCCAAAAGATTAACCTGGAGCTTATTATATCATAGACTTGATTTTAGCAAATGAGTTACATAACAATTCTACCTATCCCAAATAAAGTCAAGTATTAATTGGCAGTGCGAGTAAAGTTTAAGCGCCAACACCTCGTACAACGTCGATCAGTTTTTCATGCTACCAGTGATGCAACCCTACGATAGCACGCGACCTGCAATGTGTGGTGGTAGATGATGGTGATTTTAAACTTTCTACGAGTTTAATTGTTCCTTCTCCGAAGAATAACAGAAATAAATGATATCTACAAAATGTTGGCACATGAGTGCCTTTTCGGTCATGATGTAGAAAGTTAGGTTAAATGGCTTATTTTAGTTTACAACGCATGCGTGCTGCTATGGTCAAGTGGACTAAGGCGTCGCGCGGTCAGCTGCAGTGAGCCCGGGTTCGAATCCTGCTACGGTCGGCTGTGGTTCTTCCAGCGTAGAGTCGAAGGTAAGCGAATTTATATGCAAATAATATGTCTATATCTAATAATGCAGCTAATTGGAATAATATGCTCATATAATGTAAATGTCACGATAAAACATGAAACAAAACTAATTCCGGTCATATCTCAACATGAAGGGACACGTTCAGAAAGCTGCGTTGTGAAAAGCCATGTACAGGAATTTCAATAAATATTGATTTTTATACAGCAATCGATGCCATGTATTTTCTCTGGAGTTGTTACCCTGTAATATCACCAAGGGTGCGTTAAAATCCTAGGCTATATATTGCATACGAATTATTACATTTGTATATTTGAGTAATTAATTTGGATTTAAATTTATCTCAATCGGTTACAATTTTAGCATTAGAGACATAGCAATAGTGGACGCGATACTCATAATGTGGTATTCTAATAAAATGATGTACTTCCGGCAGTCTTTCTCTCATCCTATGCGCTATTTTATACATGGTATTCTCCTTCACCATACTGCATATGAAGCATCGGCCAGAGGAAAGTTCACTGAGGTTTTCTCTATTTACGCGCTAAAAAGTAGCTTTTAATTACGCACCCCGGCTGGCTAAGGGGCGCTTTAGTCGCCATTGGCAACTCATTTTGGGACAAGCCGGGATAGTCACTTTGGTGCGTAGTTTCTACACACCGATTTGTTTCAGTGTAGAGCTAATAAAAGCTAGTATAGTGCAAGCCTCAATTAAAACTAATCGTCAGTTTCCCCTCCATAAATTTTGAATTATTTGACTTGTTAATTTGTACCAAACACCAAGGCTTCTACCACTGTGTACATACATGTAGGAAGATTGCAAGGTCTTGAACCAGTAGCAACCAAAGTCCCATGGAACAATTATTAGTTTTGAAGGATCTTCAGTCTCAATATTTCAAGACCATTTGATATGCTTCACAGGGCTAAAATGAAACTAATAAGTACTAGAATGATAGAGAACATGAATATAAAATAGTTACTTACATTTTAAATTCAGGCACAATAACAGGCAGCTGAATATTTCCTGTGATTCTCAAATATTCATGGCAAGCTATGGCATGCCATCAACATATATTGCCATAGCCCATAAGTATTTGCTGTTGCTCACTGTGGTAGGGTTTCTTTTAGACTTTAGCTCTTGAAAGTTTTTTCTGATTATAACTATATTATTATGCATCCATATTCATATTGATGAAAAGAAGTACCTACTTCAATCTCCCCCTGCTTGTTTAAATAACCATGAATTATCCAGGCCATTTATATTTTTCTTCTTTTTCTCAAGAGTGGATTCTGAGCCCTGCATTTCAGTCCTGAGTGCTGGATGGCAATGATTGCACTAATCGTGGCTTTTTAAGGTATGTGGTGCAGTATTGGACAAGCTAACTTTGCTAAAGTGTTGCATTCTAGCTTGGCTACTTTGCAAAGGTAGTGTTTAATACTTGAACTAATTTTTTCAAGTTGTGTCGCTTAATATTAGCAGCTACATTATCTAGCAAATTAAGGCCTGTTACCTATGCTAATAATATTCATTAAATTTAATTAGATTTTTCAGTGTTTGTAAAAATCTAAAAAAATTATTTTGTTGTAGAAATTCAAACTTTGCAAAAATGTTTTCAAGCATGCTATTAAAATTTTAGTTTTTTTCTTCTGTTATACTTTTTTTATGTATATTGTATACAAAATTTGTCACTATCAAATTTATTTATGCAGGTGAAACTTCTAGCAGAAATGGCAGCTTGCTCACAGAACATCACACTTGTGCCTGGGATTGAGCTTTCTCCTCAGGAAGCCAACAGATACAAGAACATTTTTGCCGTCCAAGTTCCAATGTGTGAAGTTTTTCGAGCCGTTCTAAAATGGGAATGCAGTGACAAGCAGCTTGGTCAAACATATGCTGATTATTTTGGTCAAAAGAAGCAGCAATATGAAGAACACCATGCTGCCCTGGTGGCAAAAAAGTACAATAAATTAAAACTCCCAAAGATTGGACTACCCCCAAGTACAATGAAAAAGCTACAGGAAGAACCATCAAAATATGACGTAACTCTAATGTTTTCTTTTTTGTGCAAGATATTCAAATCAAAAGTATTCACACACGTTGACCATGTGAGAAGTCTCAGTCAACTAGAGTGCCTCTTGAAGGAGGCTAAAAATATAAGAAATGCTGTTATGCATGAAGTCGCTGATGATGTTGTCAACCCTATGAAGTTTGATGAAATTGTCAAAGCCATGCATGATGTGATAGATGAAGCTGGCAACGTGTACAGAATCCCTGCTGATGAAGTAACGAGTTTAAAAGCCCAAATAGATGGGATGTGGGATGAAGTGCTCACAGATAATGAAAAAGCTAAGGCTTATTGTTGCTTCTTCCTGCAAACTTATGGAAACAAAGAAGCCAAAGTCATGTGGGAGGCGATGTTGTCTGAAGAAACTTTGCTCTTTGGCGATGAAAAAGTTGAACGCTCGAAAGTTTTCCATTCCCTGGAATTGACACTACAGAAACCTAAAGATCAACCCGAAGACAAGATCTCCTACACTGAACTGCTAACTGGCAAAGATAAATTCATTGTAGTCATTGGCGACTCCGGGTCTGGGAAATCCACTTTGGCAAAGAACTTGGTGATACAGCACCATGGTATCTCAGATGCAAAGTTAGAAATATTCAATCTGAAGAATCACAATTTGTTACTTTATTATGAATGCAGGAATGTTTCTACAACAGAATTTACTGATGTAGTAGAAGAAAACTTCGAAAATGTGTGCCAGAAACTCGGCCCTGAAACTGTTATCCATGGAATCACCGAGTCTAAACCTTTGATTCTCATTGATGGCTATGATGAATGTCATAAAGCCTCGTATAAGGTTGTGCAACAAATAGTGAACAAAATGAGGAACCATGAGTGTCGTGTGATCATCACCACCAGGCCAAGTGCTGCTGATGAGCTCAAGGGCTTTCTGAAGCGAGAAGGCGTGAAGTTCCAAGAGTATGAGATATTAGAAATTAGTCATTTTGATGACCAACTAAGATTTCTCGAGAAGTATGAAAAGCATGTCACTCCACATGCAGAAAAAGTTGTGAAGAGCTTCAGCTCTCTTGGAAGGAGCATTCAAGAACTTTTTGTTCGTCCTATTAATTTGGTTCTTTTTTGTCACCTGGTCTGGAACTTTCCTGAGAGGATAAATGATTGGAAATCTCATGCTGCTGTGGCTGAAGTCACATATGATCTGTATGAAAAAATTATTCAGTCAAAGCTGGCTGCCCACTCCATTGTTGACAAGGCTGGACTTATCGATTCTTTCTTCCAAGACTTAAGCGAATTCTCCTTGAAGATGATTAGTGAACATCATTTGGTTTTCTCTGTAAAGCAAGTTGACGGTCTGATACGCAGTATCAGATCAAATTTCAAAGAATATGGGATGCTTGGGAGGCTTGACCCATATGCTTTTCTGGGTGTTGTCTTAAGAATAAAACGTTCAATGAAAAATTCTAAATCGTGCACATATTTCTTTCATCACAAGAGCATACAAGAACTCTTTGCTTCCAAGCCTGTCGTAATGGAGCTCCGTAAGAATAATGCCCTACCTCCAATCCTGACTCAAAAAATTGAATGGATCAGGTGAGTTTTCTGTTGAGAGAAAGATTTAATCGAGTTTCTTAAGATTGACTCTGGAACAGAAAACTCATGCGGTTGTGGTTAGAGGATTCAACCATATTTTTATCGGTCCTGATTCCACCTGCGTTCACAGGAATGAGGGGGGAAAATGTCAGGGATTTATTCATCATTCATATGCAGCTTTACAGGCACACTCTAAAATGGAGAAACCAAATTATTTCTATTTTAGAAATAAGTAAAACAATTTTATAAGAAGGCCTAATTTTCATGTTGACAAGGTTTTGTCCAGAGATGAACAGAACAATATGCAGATTGTTTGTATGATTTACCTGTTAATTATCCTCAACAATAATATTTGACTAATGATTTAAACAGGCGGCGAGAGGTGCTCAAGTATGTGTTCATGGAGCTGAGTGCTGCTGAGGATTGCACTGTCTTCTGGAATAACTGGCCGCTCCTGCTTAAAGCTATTGGATGCTTTCCCTATTATTACGCTGAAGAAATTGTACTGAACAGCCCTAATTCGCAACACATTGCGGCAGCGTTTGCTGAAGTCGTCTTGCAGCCTAACGACAAGTGGGAAATCGATGCAGGTAGTTTGTTTCCTGAGTACCTCTAGTGTTTGGGAGCTTTCATTTCTGGCATTGTATACGCAGCAAAACAGACACAAAACGTCATACAAAAGATAAATACATTCGAAAATAAATGTTTCAACACGACTTTCACAACCAGGTTCAAAATCATCTCCCTCACGAGGCGAAGAGTATCTGGAATATCCATTGACAACACTAACTACCCTTAGACAAACAAAGGAATCATCTTAGAACTGCACTTCACAACAGTAGGCAATAGGAGAAAGGAAAGCAATAGACCTCACAAATTTACCCCAAATAAATAGATTTTATCACCTCCAACCTAACATAAACAAACGCACCCTATACCTAACATTTGTTAGACCGTCCCTCATTTACTCCGCAATACCACAACCAACATGTCTAAAACATTAAATTTCCCAACTGCAAACAATCCCAAACAAGTTCATCACCTTAAGCCATGAAGTTCATCACGAACACACACTAATCAAATTTCATACCTTCAGGAATATAACACAATTAATGCAACGTTTTATATATAGTTTGCATGATTTTTATATACATACTTTTTAACAGTAATTACATTTGTAAGTACTTTAAATATTGCATCGAACCACAAATTCCCCCTCACTCCTCCACAGAAATCAATCTAAGTCCGGACGTGTTCCCTCCCATCCCAGAAAATAAAGTACAACAAATCAGGCAAAAATTGCAACATAATCTAACGATTTTATAATCATTTAATATAACCTAAATTCTTAGACCACAGCAGATAATGTGGGCATCATTCAATTTGTTCATTATTTTTCAAGTGTTGCGATACGATATTTACTCTTCTGAACACTGCCTACACTCAGAAAGAAGAATGTACAATTTCCCAAATACTGCTGCTCTCTAATACCCAGAGCTCGAGCAGAGAGCAGGCGTGACACTGAAGGAGTTCACAGTAAAGGCTTTCTCATTATAGTGAACTAGCATGTACATTTTGATCCAATGCTTGCGGGTGACTTTAATGAGGATTGATACTTAGACAAGTACCTACATCACTTGTGCTCCTCTTGTTACTTTTCGAACCTATGTAGATTTTACACGGTTTTGTAGTTGCAATCTTAATCATAATCAAAAGTAATAATCTTCACGAATGTGTAATTATCATAACAATTTGCAAAGATTTGATGAATGATGATGATTGGATTTTAAAGTAATAATCAATCTATTTGTTTTTTCTAGATTTTCTGTGGCTTCCAACCTCGCGCAATGTTGATGCCGTTGCGCTGCTGCTGCCTCACCAGCAGCCCGCCACGCTCAGCGTCGGGCTCCTTGATAACCCAGCGCCCGAGTCGTGGCGCCAGGTGGCCAGAACATTCACAAACAAATTGGAGTTGCGGCCCCGAACATTATCAAGACTACCATATCCTGACTATTCAAAACCATTTGACTACATGATTGAAGCTTTGAGCTATTCAAGGTGCATTGTCCAATAGAGGTCATTTTGTTGAGAGCAGTTCACACATAATTAGCAGCTGCTTTGAATATATTTTTATAGATCTTTCTTCAGTTTTAATTTTTGACGAGTAATATTTTTTGTGCAGATGCGTGTTGTCAGTTTTTGAAGGCCGTATTGAGGATCCAAGCAGCATTCAGACCTTAACTAAAGTTGCAACCCCCGACACAGAGTTCACCATCGTCATGCCGCCACACGTTGACTTGACGCCGCTACAAGACAAGCATCAAGTGTTGTGTGAGTGAAGAGATACAGAAAGTTATTTGCATCTAATACCGTAGCTGTTACTGGGAACTATTAACATGATAACCGATGCGATAAACCGAAATATTGAAAATCCATCACTTTCAATATTTTGTGAAGTTTGTGGGAAGGTAGTATGTGGTTTGATGCACATGATCATATACATGTTACTCTAACTCTTTCCACATGTAAACTGGCTAGACAATGTATTTGCTATGAATCGTTTCTTCCATTTATACCTTTGCAGGGGTGATTGTTGAATTCTCATCATATCAAGGAAATGCTGTTCCACTTCCCGTGTCTCCTCACATTTTTGTACTAGTGAAGTCTATTGCCGAAAATCAGCACGAGTTATTGACTCGCACCCTACTTGGCCTTTCCCCAGCTGACAACAGGTATAGTGTTCAAATTATAATCATGATGAAACACATGTCCTCATTCTGTTCTTAGGGCTGTCCACAAATATCCTCTTCGACTACATTGGGTCGAAATGTATTAGTTTAATTTGGCCATGAACCAGTACTAATGTAATAGAATAATACTAATGTAACTGATTAGAGATCTCCCAAACATGCCCTACGTATCAAGAATAGTGAGTGGTTAAAGTCTCTTCAATGCTGTGCTACATCCTTGAACTCGTATATATGCTACTATGTTCAAAATATCGCAACGTGCAAGAAAAATGACAAATAAATTAGGCTTTGACTAACCATACGTGAAGGTGGAGCTGCAGAGAAGGCGAGGAATTGGCTTCCGAACCAACACCCTTGATGAGTTTCCTTTGAGCAACACGAGACGCAGTAGAATTATATCATTAGGACCACCTTGATCCCATTCGTTGATCCTTTCACAATTCATAAAAATGTTTTGAAGGACAATTTTTGAGAATAAAGGGCGAATCTGTAGATTTTCACCGTTCAAGAGTTACACAGCAAAAAAAAACATGTCATACGTTACTGAATGTTCATCCTCTGCCACGCATACGATTCAGCACAAGTTTCGCTGTGCTGCCAACCTAAGCACTGACGTCTAGTCACGGCGAGTAGGAAAATTTAGCACAATCGTGGCATTATCTACACACACGTTGCAAAGAGCTGCAGTGGTCACCATTGGTCGAGGAGCTCGCACTTACAGCTTCAGCCAAGCAAAGATATCAGTACTTTTTATGTATATCAGTACTTTTTATGGGAGTTTGAGATTTGCGAACCTTCATGATTGAATCCAGACGGCAAGTCGATGGACCTGAAGTACTTAATATCTTCTGACGTGCAGCCGTTGGCCGCAAATATTACTCTTAAACCTGCTCTGGAGCTAACGCCCTGCCAAAATTTACACAGTTGCATATAGCGTCACCTTCAAAGCCGCACACCATGTCGGGAACAGCATAAGTTAAATTAGTTGTGAACTACTTAAAAGGAGTGTTGAGAACAGACTTGGCTGGTTCCTAGGGGAATTCTTCATTCCGATGGTCATATAAGACGAAAGCTTTTTTTAATTCAGTCTCAAAACTCGGATAATAGCATGAAGCCCTCCCCTCCAACCCCAGGTTTACGAGGCTGGAGCTCTGTGACTGCGCGTTGACTGAAGCGCAGCTGCAGGAGACGCTGGCAGAGCTGCAGCGCGCGGGGCTCAGGACGCTCTTCCGGGGCCAGCAGATCCATGCGGGGCCCAGTCGAGCGCTGAAAATTCGGTAAATAAACTCGTTGAAACAATTTTAAGTTAATAGTGTGTCTTGAAGTTCAGTGTGACTGATGAAAGTGGTGATCACTGCGCTGCCCGATAGTGTTCACGTCACCTGCAGGTAAATTTAAGAAAACCATTCTTCATTTACTATTGAAAAGGCTGACTCATCCTTAAATATATTGTCGCTAGTATCAGTGGTGAATCTACCACGGCTCTACCTATCAGCGGCAGTTTTTCGACCATGTCACCGAGTATTTAAATCGGTTTGATATCCCAGAAAGTTTGTAAGTTTGTTTGAAGTCTGGCCCTGGAAATGCGAGTTTTTAGATGCTGTTCGGCTGCGTCTCCACGATGCCTAACACGTGGAGATATTATCTGGTGATGAAAGCTCATTCTTAACGGCGGAACCCTGAGACATTGGGAAATGGGGGTGGGAAGATTTGGTGTAAACATTTGACATATAATTGAAAGTTTGACAAGAGTTCATTTTATTCATAAATCATACTTTAAAGTTTCCAATAACATTAAAAACTTGGCGCTATATGGGAGTTCCTACCAGGGTTGCACTGGGTACCTGCCCACCTACCCACCTGGGCTGGGTTTTTTAACGTTAAAACCCTGTTTTTTAAACCCGTAGTAAAAAGTTTGTTTTAAAGAAAACTGAAAAATGCATCAAAATGATCCCATGTTTGAATTTCAGAATGCAATACCAGTAATACTGGATATAAACTAAAAAAAATCTATTAGGCCTTCATGAAAAAATTCAGTCGTCCCATCTATGAATAGTGCAAGCCTCTAAAAAACTCACATCGATTTGAGCCCTAAAACATACCCACCCATTTTAAAGTTACCAAAATATACTTGGTCCCCTAACTTGATCTGCAGTCATTCAAGACCTATCACAGTTACATGAAATGAAATAAGTGACCACCAGATTTCTCGGTTATATCAAAGTTCATTCTGCAATTTTTGCAATTTTGTCTAATTTCTAGCTGCTTATTTAGCAATTTATGTCACTCCCTTGATGGAGAAAGAAACTGCACAGAGGTTTCTTTGGTAACAATTTGATGTTAATTTTTTTAAACTGTAGGTTTAAATTTAATTTAAAACCAAAAAAACAGCCAGTTAATTGTTTCAATACATATTTTTCTTACTAATCTCTGATGGAGATGTGTCCCTGCTTTATCAATAGTGATACATCAAGTTAATGATGCATCATCCTTTAACTCCTGTTTAAAAAGTTGACAATTATTGGATTAAAAGTTATGGCAAAGGTAATAGAAGTTTATACTCTATCTATAGTATCAAATTTTTAATAATTAACATGAATTATAAAGACTTAGAAGATAAGAATGAATAATAGAAGTGAAAAAAGTAATAAAACCCATATTACTCATTTGGCCGAGTTTTTTTAATGAAACCCTGGGTGTTTTTTAATAAAACCCGGGTGGTTTTGGCAATTTGAAAAAATCCGTTTTTTTGCAACCCTGGTTCCTACAGAATGTAGTTGGAATGGGTATTTCTTTAGTCATTAATCTTCACTTTGGGAATTATTAACGTTATAGCGGTTGAGCAGCCAGTGGACAATATTAGCAGCTGATATTGATGTTGTTCTATTGCGACGTGAGCCTATTTGATAGTTGCTGGTAATTTTGTTTGGATATAATTTCCCAGTGCGCTGTGCTTGAATCTGGGACCACATTAAGACATGGAGTCGCAGAAGTTGCCTGAACAAACTCTTGAAAGCTAAGATTTATCATTTTATGGCATTCTCACTGAAATTAGATTTTTACAATTACCTGGAGCCATTTGTAGTTCTTATTTCACCATGACAGATCGATAATTATTCTTTTGTCGATCAATATTCTTTTGTGTTACAGAAGTGATGTCCACCTATTAAGAGAGTACGAACAAATATTTACGAAGAGTCACGGCGAGGATTACGTGCTAATTCTCACTGATGAGCCGCCGCTTCCGCCCCAGTCAGAACCAAGCAGGTTGGTACCCACAGGTTTGGGTGCCAATGATATCACACGATGATGCTTCTGAAAAAGGATTTCAATTGATATACAAAGGAACAAAAACTTTATGAACCTTGTTTTGGCACATGCTTCGGGTCATATTGGCAATTGAATAATTTTTGTGGTTGAAGAAATCCGTTTAGAAACAGAAATTGAAATGAGAAAAGGTAGAGTTTCCAGCCCTGTTTATCAAATAGTTCATTCATATTTCAACGCCATTTTATAAGAAATTTTTGAGGAGCGTGCATGACTTTTGAACTTCAAATATTGTTGTCAATTCTATTTAATCTTCATTTTATAAATTGCAGATCTGCCTCATCAAAAAGTATCAAGTCACCCGCCAGTCTCCCCGTTGCCCCCGCGGTCGGTGGAGAGAACCTCTGTCCGCTGGCCTCGTCATGCGGGGACCTGGACGCCGTGTACAGGAGTCTGTACGCCCTGAACGTTGTGCTGCCGCACGCGCTGCGCTTTGTACTGGAGAAAGCAAGCGCGGACAAGCCTCCGGATGACTTTCTTTGGAAATATTTGGCAACGAATTGTCAAAGATCTTCTAAGAAATATGATTTCTCATTTAAAGCTGTGCAGGAGGTTCTGGAAAAATGTAATTGCGAGGCGATTAATTCACGTCCATTCGATGCTCTGCCTCTAATTCAGTTTGTTTCTAACTTTCTCGAAGTTCTCGAAGATTGGTCACAGATAAGGGTTGTGAATGAGCTGGGAGAGATACTGGTTTCGAAGGAGCCGAGAGACTATAAGAACTTGAAACTTCTTATGGTAGAAGTTTTGGACCTCAGATATGAGGTGTTCGTAAACCAGTGCGATTATCCTCCCGACCTCATCGAGGTGCCCGACAGGATCACTGATATCGCATACGAGCTGATCAGCGAGGCCGCTGAGCTGCACCGCGTGCCGGACGCTGAGGCTGAGCGGGTGAAGGAAGCTTGCCAGGCGCTCAGTGATAAATACTCTGATGTGCGCGTTGATGATGACGCTTTTGCTGTCTATCGCATTGTGAAAGAGAACAGAGATAGGAATGTTGATCTGAAATTAAAATATGTATTTGATGTCGGAGTCAACATGTCTCCAGGAGTTGTACCAGAGCCTCTCCTTGATCAGCAGCACTTTATGTTCACATTTGACTTAGCAAGTCATACGTTACCAT